AGGATTTAATTTTTTAATTACTCCCCTCTCACACATCTCCCTGGCAACCACAGCTGCTCCAGCCCTCATGGTTACGGATCCTGCTCCTCCAGTGAGAGCCAGATCTCCCCATTCCAGGATTATTTGGAGCTCTCAGAAATCCCCCAGCAGGACTCTGACACAGCCCCCAAGTTCCCTTTTCACCCAGCAAACGTTGGTGTGCCCAAAAAAACCCAGGCAGTTCAGAAAATCCCTGCAAGGAGCTGGATGAGGGAATTCACCTGACACTGGGAAGAGAGGAGAAACCCCACACTGCCCACTGGGAAATCCCACTAAAAAAAGAAGGAAAACACCCCAAAAAGTCTTCCACTTTCCTGCAAGGGAGGTAAAATTCCCATCCAAGCTCCCTGCTGGCTGCAAAGACACTGGAACAGAGTTCATTTGATTTCTTTAATCCATGGGATTTTCCCAATCCCACCATCAGCCCCATGTGCCACCCCAGGCCATGGCAGCAGCAGGGACAGTTTGCAGGTTACTGCACTGCATCAGGTTTATTGCAGGCAAAGTGCAGCTTCCATGGCATTCCTGAACCTCCCAGTGCCCAAAAACATGGAGGAGAGTAAAGAATTATTATTTAGTATTATTTAAAATCCACTCAGCTGAGCACAGCTTTGTTAGAATTTCACCAAAGCCCAGGAAAAATTACCCCAGCCCCTGTGGCTCCTGATAAAAATGGAGCCAGGAGGAATTTTTTTGCAACACTATGGGCACAAAGAGAGTTGAAGCTGCCTGACCTTGCCCCCAAACTAACCCTCCACATTATCATAACAATTTCCTCTGGTCAAGATCCAGGCCAAATCCAAGCAGGGCTTGGGGAGGGAGGGGGGCACCAGCAGGAACACAAGCACAGCTGTGAAATTTGGCATTGCCCAAACAAGTGGCCTCTCAGGAGCCAGAGCAAGGCAACAAGCAGCACACAGTAATTCCGTGGCTGGAAAGCCTTGGAGCACTGGTGGAAGTGGTTAAAGCAAAGAGGGGGGCAGGAATTAATGAACTTTTGGGGACAAGTGAAGGACAACGAGGCACAGTCACTCCTGGCCAGGGAAGTGCCCTCTCTGGGGCACAGATGGGACCTGAGCAACAGCTCAACCTCCCCCTGAGCCCCAAACCCCCCTGGCAAAGGGGGGATCCACAGGGATCCAGGGCAGATATTCTGGATCACATTCCCACACCCATCCTGACGGGCAGAAGTTCCTGATGAGGAGCTCCAGGATCCATCAGGGATCCATCAGCAGCTGGAGATGGGATTGCCCTGTGAGAGATGGGGGACAGAGCCAGCTCAGATGTTCCTCAGCAGCTCTGAGCAGCCACAGCCAGGCAGTGACAGGTCAGGGACAACTGCCCACCAAAGAGGGGTCTCTGCCCTGAAGGGTGATCCCAGTTAATCCAAGGAAAGAGGAGAACACAAATCATCTACAGGGTGGACCTTGGTTGATGGTTGATGGGTGATCTTAAAAGGTCTTTTCCAACCTGAATGATTCTGTGGTTCCATGAGTTGTGACCAAACAGCCCGAGCTGGGAGCAGAGTCCTGGCTCCTGCTCAGGAGCCTTCCAGGCAAGGGCTGCTCTTCCCCCATCCCTATGGGCACACACTTCCCAGGGAAAATGTGCTCCATGGGGATGTTCTTCACTGAGGACAGCGGAGATTAAAGGCCACAGAACAAAATAAAGGGCTGATTTACAAGAGATCCTGCCTGGATCACCCCATGGGCTCGGGAATGCTCCTCAGCCCTGCATTAATGGGCAGAGCTTGTCTGAGCCTCCCTCTGTTCCCAGAGCTCCTGCTCCCTCACAAGCTCCTCTTTTCTAACAAAAAGCCATGAGACTTTATTTCCCTCTCTGAACAACAATCTAAGCAGAATCATGTCTTAGTTACTGGACTTTTTGAGTCAAATTCCCGATTCCCAGCTGGGATTGATGCCCACGTGCTCTCTGATGTCCCTGTGCCCCACCTCCATGGCTCTGCAGCACAACCACACACCAGCACCTTCCACAAGCCACAACAGACCATCAAAGAGGAGAATTACAATCACCAGTTTCCATCCTTAAAGGGAAAGGGAACATCGTTTTCACTGGATGCCTCCCTGGGAACCACGGTATGAGCAGCTTTACACATGGCTGTAACTATGGCAAAGGGACAGACAACAAGCCTGTTGATTTAAACAGGAATTCTGGTTTTACTGTATCCCATTCAGGGTTCATAATGTGCCTCTGGACAGACCCCAACTCTGGTGCCAGCTCAGGTCTTTAATTGAAGTTTGATATAAACCCATCACATTTGCCAGCTCCACCTCCTATTGAACTGCCTCCTCCCATTTATCCCACTGGTCCCACATCATTAAAACCACAGGGAGTGTTATTTAACCCCTCGTGGTCCCTCAGGTGACCCTCACTGAATTATCAGTGCAGGTTAAACCCCCCCTGCCCACTGGTCCTGACCCCATCTCAGAGTCCAACCCAAAACTCGTGCCCAGCTTCCTGCTCCCCCACTCCTCAGACCAGGAGCCTGCCAAAAACTATTTTCCATCCAGAAAAGGGAGAATTCCAATGGGTTTAAACTGAGGAGATGATGTTTCAAGCTGGTGCACCCTTCCTTAACCCAGCACAAAGCCCAGTTTGTAAATAATGGGATCGAGCCCCTTTTATAACAGGCCTTCCAAAGGCATTTGATTCATGTCCATCCATCCACACACACAGGGCCAACACACTCCCCAAATGCACCTCCTGCTGCTGATGCACTGCTAACCACCCAGCAGGGACAGAAGGCATCCCTGTGCCCACTGACTGCCAGCCAATAAATGGAATTTCGGGATCATCACACAGGTTTTATTTCCGAGAGGCCGCGCACGGATCGCCAGCAACTCACAGGAAAAGGTGAATCCCTGTGCACATCCCACCAGTGTGAAACCACCACTGCACCCTTCAAACTGAGAGGGGAACCACACAGACCACCCCCTCTGCCCCCAGCACCCACAGACCCCATCAACTCCCAATCCCAGGCACCATATTCCCTCCAGCTCGTTCTCCCAAACAGCTCCATTATCCCGCCTTGACTGAGGGAAACACACACTTTGTAGGACATTTTGGGGCAGCAGGACGTGCCCCATGGCACAGCTGATGTGATAAGAGCAGGATTTCTTCCCCTTTTTTGTTTTTAAGACGGCCAGAAGTACTAATTGACAGTTCTACAGGCACAGCTCTGCTGCCACACTATGGAACTCCTGGTTATTGCTTCCCACACAAACCCCGGGCAACGGGAGAGGTTGGACATGGAGCCCCTTGGAACTTTGCTCTCCAGAGGTTCAGGATTTGCTCAGCGAAGGTGCTGGAAGTCCCAGCCCAGACTGAACCGATTTTCAGTGATTACACCCCAAAAACCCACCAGAGACCTGCAAGGGGTGGGCGCCTTCACTCCGGGTACATCCAGCACCGAGCCACTGATTGCAAAGTTGGCATCTTGCTCAGGCAAAAAGATCATTGCTGGGATGCCAGAATTGGAAAGGAAGAGCTATTGATCAGTGCCTGTGGCTCTGATGCAGAGAAAAAAAAAACCATCTGAGCTCTAAAAAGCTCTTGCAGATCTTCTGCTCACAAAGAAAAACAACACAGAGCATCAACCTCTGGGTGAAGGATCCAGAACAGAGGGCTCCAAACGCACAGATCAGGGACCAGGGGCCTGAGAAGAAAGGATTACATGCTCTGCAAGGTACAGAGTGGAAGATCCAGTATGAATAAGCTCCAGACAGCTCAGAAGAAGAAAGGAAGCTCTAAACCCCTCAGAAAGTCAATCAGATATTGAGGTATCTCCACATCAGTTTACTCGGAGGAGAAAAGCACAGCGGAAGGTGCTGGAATGTTTTTCCTCTGTGCACAGGTGGAGACGGGAAAAATATTCACCACGATAAATATTCACCCTCAATTAGGACTTCCAGGTTGTTTGGGTGGGTTTATAACCCTTTCCTAACACGCTTCCAGCCAGCAAAACTGTTCAGCTCCACTGCGAGAGCGCTCGGGAGGAGCAGTTTAATCCTCGTTCTCCATCCCCTCGAAGGAGATCTGCCTTACATAATAAAACCAGTGTTGCATTCCACACACAAAGTTTCCCGAAAAAAAAACAACACCCCCCCCTCAAAACCCGGGGAGCTTTCAGACCCATCACCAACCAGCCACACATTCCTCCAGCCTCGGATACAGCAGAGACAGCGTTCCTTGGAAACTCTTGGAAAAATCGGGGCACTGCACAGCGTGGAGAGAAGGCACTGCCAAACACTCGGCTCTCCCACTCTTCCCCCTCCTACACACCCAGAAGGACAGTCCCTAAATATTTGCTGTTTACACCAGAAATAAAACTTCTATGCTTTTGCTACAGGGGATGGGAGACAGCAGCAAACTGCCCCCGAATCCGAGTCTTCTCCTGCTCTCCCTTCCAGTCAATAGGTGCATGTTTCCTAAAAACCACCGTGCCGAGGCCAAAAAGCTCCTCTGCAAGAGATATTCAACTTGGAAGGCAGGAGGAAGAAGAGGAAAGTGCTTCCATCTCCCTGCGAGGCATCCAAAAATCTATTTTATCGGGGTAGGGAAATACTGAATTAAGATGCGAGGGAAAGGCAGAGGGGGGAAAAACCGTGCTGGCGTTTCTCACAGTCATCGTGCCCATCACACGCACAGCAAACTGTGCCCAAATGTGACCCAGGATCACACAAAGCCACCTTTTATCGCCCCATCGCCCGAACCCCGAAGGATGCTCGAGGGAACCACATCGTCCAAAAGGGGCTGAGGAAAATCTCCTCGGTGCTGAACACGCCCGGGAAGCATGTGCCGACACAGCAGTGTGTGCAGGCAGTGCCACACACCCCAACCCCCCCTCCGTGCCCCCAAAACAACGCTCCTTTCATTGAAGGAACCGGGGGGGAAAAAAACAGCTCCTGAAGTTGCCGGGAGGTTTCTCCGTGGCCACTTACCCGTCACGGATCCAGCCAGGAGCCCCACGGAGAGCAGCAGCACCCGGCTCCAGGCGCTCACCTCCACCGGCATCAGAGCCACGATTCCCAGTTTCCCCCAGTGCCTCCCGAAGCCGCAGCTGCATCCCGGCTGCTCCCATCCCCAGGAAGGTTGCATGTCAAAGGACAGCAGGAATGGGGCGTGCTGGGGGGTTGGTGGTTCTTGCCGCTGGGTTTTCCCCCCTTTTCCTTCCCCTTGGCGATTGGGATAGTCCTCGGCTCGGCTGGATGAAGAGGAGAAAGGAAAGAGGGGGGTGGGGGAAGGAAAAAAAAAAAAAAAAAAAAAAGAAGGGTCAGGGCCCGGATTTCTTTTTTTTTTTTTCTCCTTAATTTTTTTCTCAGCCCAGGCAAAAAAAAAAATCCCACCGCATGGAAGGCTCTGAGCTTCTGCAGCTGGAATGAACCAAGTGTGGCAGCAGCTCGGGGAGAGAGGAGAGGCGAGGAAAGGAGAGGAGAGGAGGGCTGGGGCTGGCGCGTCCCTCCCGGTGGCTGTCTCAGAGCCAGCTCCTCGGCAGCAGCACCACAACGCTCCTCGGGGGATTTATACTTCTTTATTAGCCACTTGATTAATCGTTCCCATAGCTTTTGTCCTCTTCTAAACGCTGGGGAGGGGGGAGAAGAGAGGGGGTCGCGACCAGAGGGATCTGTGCTACCACCCCCCAAAAACCCAGCACCATCCTCCCCACCAGCACCAGAGCCCACAAATTAGGCTTTGGCGGCGGGTTTATTTTTATGTCCTACAGGTTTCTCGCCGAGGAACCGGGTCCCCCAGCCCCCCGTTTCACACGGAGTCTGGCACAGACACACACCCCCCACCCCCAGAGCATCGCTGCCATTGAGACATCCGCGGGCACAGACCCCCCGCCAACAACTTGAGGAGATCGACACAATTTTGAGGACGAGGCAGATTTTGTTACGAACAGATCGCAAAAGAGCCACCCCGACCCCTCCCAGCCTGTGGCTTGTCCTCCCAGCAGCCGATGCTGGTGGGACTGGTCCAGGGGCACCGCGGAGGTGGGAAAGGCTGTGCCCCCCTCCGCCGGGCTGGGCTGCGCTGCTGCTGCCCTGGCAGGGCTGGCAGAGCCGCGTCTCTCCACCACCACCTCGCCTTGTTTGTGTTCGAGCATCTCCCGGTACCTCGGTGCCCGGAGCTGCAGGCAAGATGGGGAAGGGAGGGAGGGAGGGAAGGGAGGGAGGAAGGAAGGAAGGAATGCAGCCGGTTAACGCCACATTCGGGAACTTCATTATCGTGCTAATGATGCTCTCACATCGAGGGACGAGGCGAACGACTCGAACGCCACGCGAGAGCTCCAAAAAAAATAAATAAATAACCAAGAAAAAAAGACACTCTGGAACAGTCGAGCATCCTCCCCCCCTCCTCGGCAGCACCGACTCCGCGGCTCCCTGTGCGACAGGCTGGGAGCTGCCCCTCTCCCAAAGCCTAGCAGGGGGTGTTTACCAGCCCCACATTGCCCCTCTCCAGCCCTGCAGCCCCCGGTTTTCCCCCTCTCCTGCCCGCCCCTCTCTCCCCCGGGATGCGGGGCCGGGCCGGTGCCCCCGCCGGGCTCGGGCCGTTCTCTCCCCTCCGGTTCTCCCCTGGCCAAACCGGGGGCTCCGCTCGCCACCCATCCCCCTGCTCCGGCTTTTGCGTTTGCTGCAGTTTCTTGCCGCAAAAAAACCCCCCTTCTTCGCTCTTGTTCCGGCTGCCTTGAATGAGCTTTATTTTGACAGCTAAAAACCAAATTATATCGAGGGCTCGCGAATCTGTCCCTCCACCCTCGGATCAATCCTCCTTCTCTCTCTCTCCCTTTCCCTCCGTCCCCTCTGCATTTCAATCCTTCCCCTGCCCACATCGTGAGCCGCTGCCAAGAGCCGAGGCAACCAAGGGCTGGCACATGAAAGAGTTGCTTTATGTCTGTTTGAGCTGCGGCTCCCATTCAAACAGACCTGATTGTGCAAAAGGCACAAGATCCGCCGAGAAAAGGCTCCCCCGGGGCAGGGGGAGATCCACCCACGGGCTGTCCCGCACCCAGAGATCCCCCCGGAGACCCCCCCAGCAGCCCAATTTCGGCTGCAGCCGAATTTGTGCCCCCGGTTGCTGCAGGAGCTGAGCCAGAGGCAGCCCCGCACCGAGAACAATCCACAGGCGTAATAATAAAGGCACTGAGGAGACACAATCCCACTTTATTCCCGGGGAATCAAATCGTATCCGTTTTCAAAAATCCGGGGGTTCCTCGCTAATAAGTTTTCCTTCGCTTAAACCACCGAGATTTCGGGCGGAACTCTCCAAAAAAAAATCCTGCCTTTATTCACAAAGCAGACAATTCTGAGCAGAGCCCAAACCATCCCTGCAACCATCAGCGGTTCCAGCATCCCTAAAGGAAGGCTCTGGGTTTGGTTCCCAGCCCGTTCCTAACCCCGAGCGCTCACTCCGCGTCCCACCTTGCCCAAAATCACCTCTTGGCTAACGAGAATTCCTGTTCTCCCGTTGCAAACACCCACCGGGACACAAATCCTGCTCTGCAGTGCCACCCGCAGCCAGAGCCGGGCTGGGATGACTCTGCTGCCTCCAGCCCTCGCTGCCTGACACATTCCAGCGGCTGCAATCCCACTTTTCCATCCTCCACTGACCACACGGTCCCAAAATCTGAGCTGTTCGTGATTCCTCCAAACAGGCACCGGCACATCCTCAGGTCCCAGCTGTCACATCGCTGGATATTTGGAAGAAATTCCTCCCTGGGATGGTGTGAGGCCCTGGCACAGGTGGCACAGAGAACCTGTGGCTGCCCCATCCCTGGAAGTGTCCAGGGATGTTGCTGGAGCAACGTGGGATAGTGGAAAGTGTCCCTGCCCTTGGAATTAAATGGATTTTAATGTCCCTTCCAAGCCCAACCCCTGTGGGATCCCGTGATCACCTTTCCCAGGTGTTGGAACAAAGCCTGAGGGCACATCTGAGTGTCCCAACCAGGCAAATCATTCCTGCTTTTTCCCACTGAAACCAATTTTCTTTGGGAAAAAAAAAAAAAGTGTGTCCCGTGAAACCCAACTACTTCAAATTCTGAAGCACCACAAGCAGCTGCTGCTTCCCCACAACATTTAAAAAGAAAAGCAACCAACAACACATCAAAATATTTACAGGAAGAAGCGAAAGCGGCGTCAAAGGAGCAAAATTGAAAATTAAAGTGTTATAAGGAAGCCACTGTAAACAGCTGATCTGCACAAAGGAGAGCTGGATTTAGCACAGGGGAAAAAAAAAATTATGCCAAATCGTGTTTTGCAGGACAAATAATGGGAAGAGAGGGAAGCTCTTGAGATTAATGGCAGAATATTGACTGGGTGCTCCTGAAATAGAAAATTCAGAAATCCAGCTCCCAGTCAACAAACATGGTCTGGTTCTGAAAGCCCAAACAAACCATCACATGGACCTGGGAAAGTGCAAACAGGGATTTCAGCTTTAAAAAGTCACATTTCCTGGGTGAGGAAATGGACAGTTCTCCAGAGGAACCCACGGAGGGACAGGAGGGGAAGGCACAGCCTGTGGAGCCACCAGAGACAGGAATCCCACTGGAAAACGGGGCAGAAAGTTGTTCCTGTGCTCAGAAATAGCCCAAAAATGTTCTATTTTCACCTGTTGAGGGTCTATTCAAGAGAACATCTATCTTCCTTAAAAACAGGGGGGAAGCAGCATCCTACTAATTACAGTGATCCTATGATTAGAGGTAATTGGATACATTTACAATTTCGAATTTCCTAATTTTAGTTGTTTATGAACCATGTATGTACCCATAGTGTGTGCACAGAGCAGCAGCCATTCCCTCCAGCTAAGAGGAGAAAATTGATAATCCATTAAATTATTGCACGTGGAAGGAGCAAACTGGAATTTCAATGGGAGTTTGGAGCAGGGAAGCACAATGGGCACTAATTGGGATTTGGAGCAGGTAACCACGACAGGGTTTGCCCTAAAGGAGCCCCAAATGGGGCAGTTTTGACAGGAACTCCACTAAAAGGCTAATTGTGGCCTTCCAGGACCTGAAGGGGCTACAGGAGAGATGGAAAGAGACTATTCCCAAGGGTCTGGAGTGACAGGACAAGGGGAATGGCTTCAGACTGCCAGAGGGAAGGGTTAGAGGGATAACAGGGAGAAATCCTTCCCTGGGAGGGTGGGGAGGCCCTGGAATGGAATTCCCAGAGAAGCTGTGGCTGCCCCTGGATCCCTGGAAGTGTCCAAGGCCAGGTTGGAGCAACCTGGGACAGTGGAAAGTGTCCCAGAGGGTGGCACTGGACGATCTCCAACTTCCCTTCCAACCCAAACCATTCCAGGATTCCACAACTGACACCAACATTCCCTGAAGCATCTGGGAACAGCCAGAACCAAGGGGGCACATCCAGAACTCCTGTTTAGGTTCCTGGACCATATTTATCAGTCTGCAGATGTCAAACACAGTGAATTTACCCTCCTTTGCAATATCCTTATCCCAAAGTTCTGAACTTTGGGCAAAGGTTCTTGTTTCTTTCTCCCGGTTTTATTCATTCTTATGAATGAATAAAATTCATTCATAATTCCAGGTAATTCCAGGTCCTGTGGGTCAGAGTTTAATGGCCCTGCCAGGGAATTCAGCTGCCAATTGCCAAGTTTGGGGCAGTGCAGAACTGCAGCCTGGAAAAGCAACAAGTATTTTAAACAGATTCTGCTGACAGAAAGCAACTGTGCCACAGATTAAGGAAGAAATTGCTTGTTTATTTATATCTTTAACCTCTCTCTGTTTAACAGGAACTACTACAACACTGAATTAAAAAATAAACAAAAATCCAGTTAAAGATAGTTCAGGTACTGCAGATTTTCTACCACATTGATGAGCACAGTGTGGCCAAGTCTGAGCTTCTCATCAGCTTCCATTTATTCCAACCTTCCACAGCTTCAGGGAACAAAACAAACCCAAATTTTGTGAGGAGAGAGCAGAACACCCCCAGGTCTGCACTGAGGGCACAACCTGGTAATGTTCTGGCAGCTGATTTGTGATTTATTAGGGGAGAGGAAGAAACCAGGTCAAGTTCTGCTGGGTGGGATAGGGAGGGACAGCAAATCCTTCCCCCTGGATCTCCTTCATGTAAAAAAAACCCACCCAAAAATGGCTAAAGGCTCCTCAGAGCTCCATTAGGAAGGAGGAGCAGGAATCTGGCAGTTGGATGCAATCCTCCTGGAGCTTGGCTGAATTCCTGGCTCAGGTTTTCAGTTCTGCCCCCGAGGAGCTGCAGTGACAAAACCTCAACTCCCTCCCCTGTGAGAGCCACGGGAAATTCTGAGTGAACCCAGTTTTCCCCTCCTGGTATTCAGAGAAAAACCTGCTATTATCTCAGCCCTGCAAGGACTTCATATGTTTTCCCCAAAGTGAACATTTCCACATTTCCATCTCCAGTAATCCCCTCTGATTTATGGGGTGAGGAACAGCTGGATGACAATTCACCTGAAATGAAGTTTTTTAGGATGACAGGACAAGAAAGGGCCTTTTCTTTTTTTTTTTTTTGGTATTGGAAGATGGAG